TCAGATTCTTATGATAACCCACATTTAGTTACTGCTATTTCTTGTGTGTTTGTGTGTTTGCAAAGGACCCTCAAGATGAGCATATGCACCTAACATTTACGGAATCTCATAACACCGATTAAACCCATTTGCCATTGTCAAGGCTAACCTAAACACAGAAATTGCAATGAAAATGCGACGCACATTCGAACCAGAACCACATTGAAAGCCCCGACAAACCTTTTCGTAACCTTGGCGACACATCAACTAATGCTCCGTTAAACCCGCAATGAAGAGGAGCTGTAAATTATATAATTGAAGGAAAATGGTACATGAAAGCCAGGACAGCGGAAGCAGAGAACCCAAGTTCATGTCCTCGGCGACTTGAACCTAGGAGGTACTCCCTCCGTTCCAAAATAGATGACTCAATTTTATACTACCTTTGGTATAAAGTTGGGTCATCTATTTTGGAACGGAGGGAGTAAGAACAAACCTTACCTTTTCCCCGCAAAAAGGAAAGAAAGAATCTTACCTTCAAAAACAAAAGTGAGAGCCACTACTTGTTTCTCTTTCCCTCATTTGAATTTCGTTTATACATTTACCATTTTCCAAAACATGAGACCGGCACATTTATAAAACCTAGGACTTGTTTGGGGCAGTCTTATTACTCAAGATCTGTCATACTCGAAACATATTAACGCCCGTGTCTCCCGAGCGGAGGGCCCTCAATGCAATGCAAGGTGTGCAGACGACGTAGCAGCCACATTATTGTTGTTTTGGGACAGCAGAGAGCTTTATGGAAACATATCATTGCGTGTGCAAGGACACAAATCCAGTACGTGGGTGGGTGTCCCGGCCGTTAGCAGGAACCGGTACAACACGATGCATGAATGCCATTGCATGTACAGTACATGTGCATGCATGGCCAATATATGTCATCAGGCATCGTCAGACGAGACGACGCGCGCAGGTACGTTGTACATGCGTGCACTGCGCCGTATCGTCATCATATGTACATACATCTCTCTCTCTCTCTCTCTCTCTCTCTGATGATCTGGTACGTTTTACATGGCTGGAAAGGGACAAACTATTTTTACCCCACGGTGAGGGGAGCAAATTAATGGGTACGCTTCTTCTATGATTCACCTCTAAGCAGGAC